ATGACACAACAGTAGGAACTAGCCATCATCTCAAGGTGAGTACGTACGCATGTATACCGTAAGAAACACCAACGCATAGCACACACAAAATAAAAATGCATGTTACAGACACGTGGGTGCATAGACGAGGGAGTACAAGAAAAATTGAACTTATGGACGGAAGCACAGCAATTTTAGTCACCTGAAGATGATCAGTGTTAGTCGAAACAAGTGCTGCAGAAGATGTTTTAATGTTTAAGACTTTAGAAGGTTTTAAAAAAAGAGTTGCATGTGAGATAGATAATAACTAAGAGGAAGAAACTGGTGACCGCCAAAGCTTGTCAGCGGGATGGGAAATCACTGAAAGACGATCTGAATTGGATAAACCAGGATCTTTGCCGGAAACTGTCAAAAATCATCAACGATTTTGATTTGTATTTATTGTAAGAAATAACGTGTTTAGTGTTTCCTGTACGTCGTACAATGTATCTTCATACATTCAACCGTATGAGATTAATGTAAGCCAAGTATGTATATTCATATGATTTTATTTTAATAAATCATTTTATATAAGTATTTCTATAAACAAGTAATACTTTATAATAATAATTGCTATACAATAGACGAATAAACGAACGGCCGTTTCTGAACAACGGCTCTGTAAAGACGTTCCCGAGGAAATGAATACACAAAGAACAATAGACTTATTATTGGAGACGGGATTTTTCTATGTGGTCCGCGCCGATGTGTTATTAGTATAAAAACAGAACTGGGGCAACCAAGTTTTGCAAGGGAGTCTGTGAGGAGAAGGAACTATAATTGAGCTGCCAGTTGACAAGAGTTCTGGACGGGCGGCTGTGACAAGAAGACCTCAAAGCGTGAAGCTATAAAACCTGCACTGTTATTAGCCGTTGCCATGGTGATCTGTGAATAGTGGAAATCAGCTATAGCACTGTAAGTGCTACTACTGCTGATACTATTACAACTAATATATTATTATTATTATTATTATTATCATCATCATTATCATCATCATCATCTCTTGTCATAGGTCTGGTATTCCTTTTCTTGAACCAGTGATGCACCTCACCACTCAGGCTTCAAGCTTCGCACTATAGCACTTTCCGTAGTATGTGTGATGTTCCCAGGATAGCTGCTTTTTGCAGTGAATCTATGGAGTGCTTACCAGTAATTAGTTCCAAATATTTTCTCAACCCTCTCGTGACTGTACCCGTGGCTCCAATAATTACTGGTATCACAAAACATTTCATGTTATTATTATTATTATTATTATTATTATTATTATACGAAACGCAAGAGTAGGTGGAAAGAGGCTTCACATTAGATCGCAATACGTATCCACAATACTGTTGCGACAGTACTATAACCACGGATCGCCCAATTTTATATTTCGGGTGCAGAAATAATTTCGCCACCCACACAAGCACATTTATTAATTAAATTTTATCGATACACCATTTCTCACTTAAAGCGTTGGCACCCGAATGAGGTGTAATTGAGAATGTTCCTCAACCAAATCGGATGCAGCCTATAACCTGGTTCTTACGTGGGCACATCAAAGCCCTCAACCTCCCACAAAGGCACTTCAGAGGAACAACTACGTGTATTTGAAATTAGATATCAGTACCTTTTTGAAAGTGTGTAGACGTATGTTGGCGCATATTGGAGGGCACATGACCCAGGAAATGGGGTGAGTTAAGGGTATGAGTAGAGGGTGGTACAGCTACCCTCTAATCCACGTGGATTACGCACTGGGGGAGATGGGCGTATTACAGAAGGGGCAGAGAAGGATGGGAAAGTTATACATAGAGATGAGGAGGGGTGTAGGGAGCGATGTTCCTGACCAATGAGGAATGGTGTTTGCAGGTGGAGGCGCCAATTTCTATCGTGTATAAACTCTGCATGTTGCCTACAGACGCGGAAACGGACTACCACGCACATACGTGGATTTATACACGTACAGCATTAGACACACACACACACACACACACAGACCATTAATCATAACAAGCGGATTTACTAATGATATATGACCACACCCTGTATAATGCCAGTTTCTCCCTTACTCACACCACTCTCTAAATTAACCCTCCTCCCAACCTTCTAAATCAACCCCGTCCACATTCTACGAGTAATATGATCGGGCTCACATTTCACAAGTAACTTTTCAAGTTTTATTCTGTCTATATATTCTTATTAGAAGACCCCACCAAATTGTTAATCTGCAAGAAACTAAAAGCGACAAAATAAAATGAAGTCAGTTTAGGCCGAAATTTATTTGATGATGTTTATATAAGGCTAGAGTGTCATATGGAACTTTGAAATTAAAATGTATAAAGACTCACGACTGGACATGAATAGTATATTGCATCGAAATCTATTGAAAATGCAACTGTAACCTATTCAGCAAACAAAATTTCTCACGGTTAATATTTGTCTTTACTCTCCTTTAACTCAGACAATTTGAAGTTTAGCAACCAGTACTATGCTCTTACATTACGTCTTCATCTGATGCCTAAATTCACTCATATTCCGAACAAAATGTGACATTAACTTCCATAACAGACCAAATAATGAAATAAACGAGAGGCGATATTCTATGCCTAGTCTTTTAAAGCAGTAGTTCTGAAACTTTATAAGGTTTGAGGCCCCCTTGATGTAATTAAAGTGCCTCTGGCTGCAAACCTGTAACAAATGGCCTAAAGGTGACAGTGTAGGAAGTATAGGGTAAAGCTATCCCTGTAATCGGCTATGGAGGCCCATAGGGTTATGAGAAATCGAGGGTCCCACATTATCTAGACAACCGGCTCACAGATGGCGGTAAGTTTTGTCAGCTTTACGAGCCGGCCGCCCTTTACCCCCCAAGGAAGACTCCTGGTACTCATTTCTGTTAGAAGCTGAGTCGAACCCAGGGCCATAGTGCGGCTGGAAGGATTAGGTCAATTGAAAAAAAAATCAAAATCTTCGGGACTCGAACCCACGACCATAGTACCTCAACTAACTACGCTACCGCATGCCCCTACTCTAGGAAGTACTCATTCAATTATATCGTATATTCAAAATTCAATGTGGTCTATTCTTATAAATGTGTATGAACGATATTTTCACCGGCCCGTGAATGGAAAATTCACGGCCTTCTGCGACTGTCGCGTTTCTCACTTTAAAGGAATTTAACCTCTTTGAATGTAAATGAGACTACAGATTTTCCTGTGCGTTACAAGTTATTATAAGCATGGACTTTAACAATTATGATCCTTACTTTACTACACTTACAACTTCAGTAAGTCTTAGATCCAGGATCCTTTAAAGTTCTGAACTATATCCTCTTTCGAAAGCATAGTAATTGCTATTTTCTTTATGGACAAGTAATGAAATGAAAGTAGGCCTGTCCTTATAATCCAGCAGGAACAGTGGGGGTTGTGTAGAATATCCTTTTAAGGGTCATTAAACGAGCAGTTTACACAACTTTTCCCTGTCCACTGTTTAGACTGGCCTACACGTAGCACCAACACCCACTGCATCACCTCTCGTCCACCGAAAAGAAAGTAAAGTTGTCCCTGTGCTTAACCAATTAAGCAATACGCCGTGAAGGCGTATGGGGGAGTGAATGTATACATCCACATTTCCTTGACCTCTGCACTAGTTTGAAATGAGTGGTCAGCTCCATGCTCCTGCTTCTTTAACCCCATGGAAAGAGCCTCCAGTATCCATTGGATAGGAGACTGGATGACGATAAGAGAAAATTCTCGAATCTACCGGGACTCGAACTCCGACCCTTCTGCCTCCAGCCCGTAGCCGGTCATTTTACCGACGTTATCCCGGCTCCTCCCTTCCTCCCTTCATTTTCAAAATAACGGCTTGCGATATATCGTGTACATAGACATAGAAATTCAACCTATTTGCTTGGAACCTGAAGACGAAGGCGGCATGTTCCTCCGAAACGTCAGCAAGATCGCCCATAACCACGCAGTGTAACAGCCCAAGAACAGAGTTAACACCAACGTTTAACCATCGTGGAAGCCTACTTCAGTTATAACTGTTTCGTACATCAACTTTAAACCAAGTAGATACTAAAGGGTTTAGACGTTTATGTGTAACACTCGGAATTACTGGGATTTTGGACTTTATCCATCGTCATGTATTCTATAAAGTAGAAAACACAACGTTTCTGAAACTGGATTTGTTTACGTCCTCAGGTGAGAGGGGGAAAGACGCCAGGAGATTCTGAACTTTAGACCATGTAGAAACATTGCCCATTAAAATGTTAAATATGCACAGTCATCCACATATTGAAACTTCTAAAGCAATCTGACTTTGGAACAAAAGAACTTATGTTTTGTACTAAAACTAGTTCAACATCTAGTTGTCGTGTTAATGTTCTGCATAATGCAATACATTTCAATATACTGCAGAATTCAGGCATATGTGAAACATTAAATGTACAGCAGAATTCAGGTAAATTATATATGGACTATTAAATATACTGCAGAATTCAGCCATAAGTATATTATTAAATATACTGCAGAATTCAGGTAAAGCGTATATGGATTATTCAATGTACTGCAGAATTCAGGCATATGTGAAACATTAAATGTACAGCAGAATTCAGGTAAATTATATATGGACTATTAAATATACTGCAGAATTCAGCCATAAGTATGTTATTAAATATACTGCAGAATTCAGGCATATGTGAACTATTAATTGTACTGCAGAATTCAGGTAAAGGGTATATGGACTATTCAATGTACAGCAGAATTGAGGCAGATGTGAATTATTAAATATATTGCAGAATTCAGGCATATGTGAACTATTAAATGTACTGTAGACATCAGGTGTGTGTGAGATATATTCATTGTACTACTTCAGAATTCAAGTATATGTGAATTGTTCAACGTACTACAGAATTCAGGTATATTATAAATAACAACGAAACTAAATAACGACTATGCAGGTTGTGTTCAAAACGTATGACTTTTTATTAAAATAAATTACAATCACACACATACAAATAACACACACAATTGAAGACATGAGTTGACAAAAAATTGTATACGTTGAGCAACATGTAAGCAACAGAAACATTTAACAATATATTAAAAAAAACAAATCTCCATGAGAAAAATAAACAAAAAATGCCAATATCTCAAAATAGCACACAACTGGACAGGGAGACATTCCCATCATACAACAAACACCTACACGTTTCATTGTATACGTATACTAAGACCTATCACTATTAATAGAAACAATGTGGTTTTACCATTAAGCAGTGTGGTTCGCGGTTGTCTCCCCACATGTGTTTATGAACTTGATCAGAATGTGATATACAGCGCAGAAAACTTGTAAGACGCCAGTTCTTATTCGCTGTTGTTCTTAAATTATACCTAACACTATTAGTACTGCATCTTCAGTTGGACTACAATGTTTGTTGTTACGTTTATTTTACGTATATGAAGTTGGCATTATCACACATGTAGAAGGGAGTATGTATTCTGTAGTACATTGGAGATCTTCCACTTATTATTTTAGAACAATATTAAACTTCTATTTCTCTGGATGGCTTTCCTTACTTTGCACTAGATAATAATATTTCACACAAATATTTTAGAATTGTAAAAGTGAAATTATTTCACAATTCTAATTTGTTTAAAATATTTACAAATTTGATGAATTTAAATGACTCCTGATTAGTATTACATGTTCCAAACCAACAGCTAATCTAGACTGCTTTTTCTGTATTTGATCATGTCCAATGTAAGTTATTTTATCAATTATCCTTATATTAAATTATGCCCTAGCCATATTTCTTAAACTATTTTATACTAAATAAAAACACTTTACAAGAATCGAAACGGTATTAATTACGTCTGTCAGACTCAATATTGCATGGATTTCTGGTCTGTTGTTTAAAAAGTTCAATATATAACTCCCAGTTCTGATTTTCTCTCAAAACTTCATATGAAGAATTCCTCCTTCACACACTTACAAAATGAACAACAAATTAAGTGTATTTGCCATTCGTAAAATTCATAAGTGAAGCATTTAAAGTTCATGTCTTTCTAAAATCACCTCTCCGACTTGATAAACTCGCAGAAAATCCTTCTGAACTGTTCCCACAATGGATAATGCTTTTCATAATGTAATATCTTTGTTTCACCGGTTCCTTCTAATGGAGTTTCTCCTTCTGTGCAGTGAGTACTCTACTGCCGTGTTGTAGTTACTCTTCACTTTCCTCATCACCAATCATTGTAAAACCGACGGCGCCACAGACTGATATCAGTGATGGACCCTGATGCACGGTGATATCCAGTGGCGTTGCAGAAGGCTTCATCCATGATAACGTTCTGCGATCCGTCTGCAAATGGGAGTAAATTTTCTTTGTTTCAATATTTCGAGGCATTGCAAATGTAAGGGTAGGACTATTTATTTCCACACAGTACTTGAACAAATTTCTATCATTAATTGCTTTAAATTACACTAAGTGAATCTGGACAATGTTATATTTTAGCGTCCTGTTGCACTGCTTTATGTCCATGATTTATTCTGACATACCCAGCAGGCCCAGCAGTATAACACACGCAGTCACAGGAGCAAGACACAACACAAAACACAATACACACATGAAAGTAGGAAGAATACTCCGATAGAAGAAGATAGGTGTGACTCGCGTACTGAAATACGACATAAGGATGACAAATCCTGAACAGTTTTAACATTTTTAATATTTAAAATTTAGCAATATATATATGACGAATATATATTTTAGTTATTTTAGTATAAAGACAACAGGGCATGCAATGCAGTAGCTCGACGTACATCGAAAAGCACCTGAAGATGGCACTTTTGTGCTGAAACTTGTAGTGCAAGAGAGAAGACTAAGGTGAATAAATGTATGCACTGTAAGACGGTCAGAATAAATCATGGATCTGGACAATTTAGCAGTTCGTGTGTTTCCAGTGACGTGCTTAGAGAGTTCTGTCTTATGGGATATAAACGCTGTGTAGTCCGTCGAAAGCCAACTGATATTCCGGAGGAGAACGTCGCCTCCATCTTCAGGGCTGAAGAATATGCCATGCAAGGAACGAGCATGAAAGCCACATACTTTCACGCCGATTTCTTGCTTTGCTTATCTTTCTACCCTGAAGATATATTTCTCCGAAACGTCGGTTTGAAATTCACTCTACTACATGGCAGTATATCTCAGAAGACAGAACTCTTCATAACCGCTGCGAGAACTTGAAATCCTACACGACATATTTAAGTTCTCCGCAAATTTCTAATAGCAAAAGAATTACCTGAAGCAATAAATCATTTAAGTATTGCATAACTTTATATTTATAGCATTCTATGAATCACCGGAAGTTTAAAGCAAGAAACAAACGTTTCATTTTGAATTTAAAGTGGTGAAGAACTTAGGAATTCGGGCCCNGTGTTACCCGACGTTTCGGAGGAATGTATCGCCTCCATCTAGCCTGAAGATGGAGGCGATACGTTCCTCCGAAACGTCGGTTAACACCACATATACACGGTGCCAAATCCCAGAAGACTGCTTTCTTGATAGTCACCTCCGTGAAAGTCTCAAATCTTACAATAAGAATACAGTTCTCCTTCCTAATTTCCAAGTTTGTCTGCAAGAATTAACTTCTGTGAACTACATTATATATAACTAAACCTTTTATGTTTCAGCAGAAATTCAATACGTGAATTCAAAATGCAAAATTAATTCTTTATGCTTTGAAATTCGATTAGTTAGATATTTGTTAGGAGTAACTGCAAAATATGTAATTTTTATTTATTATCATAAAGTTTTAAATTTGCTACAATTAAGGATGTAGGAAAATACTGAACATACATTGACGCATTGTGAATGATAAGCACAGGCTTAGTAACTGGATGGCATTTCAGTTATGAATTTAAGAACAGGGCTAATATTTCAAAACTGTCCCTTGCTTGTTTTGCGGCATGAGAGCCTACTTGCCTGAATGTGTTAGTTCCATCTATGACGTCTATACATGTTCTTGTGCTAATAGCAACAAAGCAAACTAAAGGAAAGAAATAATGAACTTTGAAAAGTAGAATTGCATGCTATTAATAAACGAGCTTATTGTAAAATTTTAATTGTGAATTTCCAAGTGTCAGTTAAAAAGAAAGTGGGTTCTTATGATTTACACTGACTCAGCAACATGCTATTTGACCAGGGCAGATTAAGATGCAATGCATTGATAGAATGAACTCCTCAAACAGAAATTTCGCGAGCTAGAGAAAGGACTGAAATTTAATCAAAATTTATCCTGCAATATTCTTAGTGGATCCACATTTTTCCTGATATAATTTGTATGTATTTGCAGCAATATGATGCGTCAATAATGTTACATAAATATTACAGTCTTCTGCAATGTGGCTCCATGTAGATTAGTAGATTAAGGTATAATTATTTCAAAAGAATATTCTGCCTTCAGCAGGGGAAATGTGGCAGAGACATAGGGACCATTATTTGCCTCGAGTCTTATTCTGCTACTCTGAAGATGGAGGCAGCGAGTTCTTACTGCACGACGTCGCATCCCGAAAGTCCGTAACCCCAATACTCGGCATCACAAGAACCTCACCACTCGCATTACCCACTTTCGTCAAAAGAAAAAGGTATGAAGCAAGAGAGAAAGGGAACGTACGTTAGTTATTTAAGCAGCATAATTTGCTGTTAATTCCAATAGAAATATCAGAAAGAGTAAAGCGGAAATAAACGTGTTACCTGAAGAAAGCAGTCTTCTGGGATTTGGCACCGTGTATATGTGGTGTTAACCGACGTTTCGGAGGAACGTATCGCCTCCATCTTCAGGGTAGAAGAAAAAATATATGAA